GCAATTAAACGGTATACAATAGGATGAATGTAAAGCTACTGTTCTCCCATGTAAACTATCACATAATTTACAATAAAATATTTTTTAAAAAGTGTACAGATCCAAATGGAGAATATTCCGAGAAACAATAGCTTCTCATTTTGATCTATTTGTTTAATAAAGGGTTCTATGAACTTGTTAAAAAAAAAAGCAAAATTCAATTCATTTCCAGTGATAATTTTGACTGGATTAGCAGAAGAGTTTATATGTCAACTGGTTAGAGCACTGGCTAGAAGAATTTGTTTTAGCACACAGAAATAACTCTAGCAAGGCTGATCACTGAAATATTCAGGCACAGTCACCAGGAGAAAACATTCATATCAAGTTCAGTAAGTTTTTAAAAAATTCTCCTGCTTCAATGATGCTGAGAGATTTGATGAAACTGGATACTGTCTCCAATATTAAAAAATATAAGACCAGAGCAAGGAGAAAATGAATGCAGGCCCAACTGCAAGCTCTATGTAAGAGTAAGGAGTAAAATCAATTAATGTAAATTGTCTCTAACAGTCAGAAAACTTGAGTGCTATACGATAACAGCTAAGAGTTCATAAGCTGTCTCATCCTTGTGGATTCAGGCATGTGTAATGATAAACGGACACTACTAAGAAAAGTAAGCAAACATTACATGCAGGATGATTGCTGTATTAAAACATATTGAGTTTTTATGAATAAATATTTATATTAAAAAAAAAAATAGAACACACTTTAACAGAAGGAAAAGCTACTTACACCCGAATAGAAAGGCTCACCAGACACACAAATCACATCCTGCTCCTGGATCATCAGAATGTCCTTGGCTAGGTGCAGCCGTACTTTGAAAGGCTCTTGGTTACCATCCTGCAGCAAACAGATCCCTGTCTTTGTCTTTAGACAAAAAACAAAAACAAAACAATACCATATATATGTATATACCTATTCATAAGAATAAAAAATAGATAAGGTAATTATAATTAGCTTATAAATTGTAATCTTATGATCTATTCATAGCAAAACATGACTAATAACATTAGAGAACTGAAGAAAAATGCACTCTGGTTAATCTGAAATGTATGATAGTGAGTCAAAAATTATTCACACTATGGCTGTAGAATTTATTTTAATCATCTTTTAGAAAAGACAAATGCATAGTGTTTCCATAATATCCTTGCTTTTCAACACACTTGCTAACAAGTTTTTGTATTCTCTTATTAAGAAAACATTTTAGGCTGAGTTGTGAGTCACAAACACTCCACTGTCTTCAATTCTTCATCAGAGGTGACTCTTTGTCATTGAAGGGCTACTCTCAGGGGACCAAACAGGTGAAAGTCCAATGGAGCAAGATAAGGACTATAGGTAGGATGCTTTAATACTTCAAAAGGAAGTTTTTGCAGAGTGTCAACAGTGTGGGCAGAGGTTCATAGACGTTCATTGTCATGCAAGATCACAATACCCTTGGATAGCAGTCCTCTGCATTTAATCTGAAGTTTTGACTTCAGTTCTTCAGTGAGCACCTCACTTTAACAAGCAATATTGATTGTTGAACCTTTATTCTCATAGTGTTCGTATACTGGTCCTTGAAAATCCCAGAAAACTGTAAGCATCAGTTTTCCAACTGATGGTTGACTTTTGAACATTTTGTTGGTTGGCAGTAAAGGATGTTGCTATTTTTTACTCTCAGAATATTAGTGGTGAATCCATGTCTCATCACTAGTTACGATTTTTTGAAAGAAACTTTTACTTTCCTTTGAATATTGGTCCAAATTTTGTCTAAATGCTTCTACTTATGTTCTTCCCTGAGTTATTTTGGTACTCATTTCACACAAACTTTTTGAAACCCAAATCTGCTGTGGATTATTTCATAGGCAGAGCTATGACTGATTTGTGAATGATTTGCCACATAATTTACTGTCACTTGTCTATTTGACAGAATCAGTGAGCATGCATGCTAAACATTGCCATCAACCATGGATGGGCATTTTAATAGAACTGGGTGTGACAGTTTTTGACTCACCCTCATAATAATATACATAGTGGCAAGGAAAGCAGATCCCATGTCAAATAAAGTAGACCTATCTAATAATGTCCACACAATACCTGGTGAGTTGGGATTATTTATATGTTAGGTACTACATTTAATAAATGGGCTCATGGTATGGTGCTATAGAATCACCACTGGACTTTGAACCACAAAATTAGCAGTTCAAACCCACCTGATGTTCTTTGGAAACCCTATATAGGGTCACTATGAGTTGGAACCAACTTGATGGCACTTAACTAAAACTGCAATACATTTAAAAAATAATGACAGTTTTTATTAATATTTATAATATAATTATCATAGACATTTTATGGAGAGAGGTTTCACATATTATACAATTCATACATTTAAAGTGCACAATTTTTAGTATATCATGGACTGCCAAAATAATGAACAAATCTGTTTTGGAATAAGTACAGTCAAAATATTCCATAGAAGTGAGGATGACAAAACTTTGTCTCTTGTACATTGCACGTGTTATAAGCAGGGAAAAGTTCCTGGAGAAGGACATCATGTTTCGTAAAGTAGAAGGCCAGCAAAAAACCAAAACAAAACCCAAGAAGGCCATCAGTGTAATGGATTAACACCATAGTTGTAATGGAGTAATAGCCTCAAACATATTTTCATATTCAACACAATGGCATGAATCATATTTGTTAAGGAAGTAAGTGATAGGATTTTCTTTGGAATACAAACATCCATGGTGAATGTTAGGAGTTAGTTTCTTTAAAAGGATCCCATGATATTGATGGGGACTATTCAATCAGTGAGTCCTGGTATGGCGCTGTGGGTTAATGCACCAGACTGTAAAGCTGTTTGAAATGCAAGATTGGTGGGTCAAACTCCCCAGCTGCTCCTTGGAAATTCTATACAGGGTCACTCTGGGTCGGAACTGACTGGATGGCACTTCACAACAACAATTCAATCAATATGCTGAGCAAATAATATGAGAAGCTTGAATATATGAAGAAGAACGTAACATCGTGATTGAAGGAAGCCTCATTAACAAACTGATATGCAGATGATACAACCTTATTTCCTGAAAGTGAAGATGACTTAAAATACTTGCTGATGAAGATCAAAGACTACAGTCTTCAGTATGAATTGCATCTCAATTAAAAAAAAAAAAATCTTCACAACTGAACCAATAAATAACATCAAGATAAATGGAGAAAAAATTAAAGTTGTCAAAGACTTCATTTTGCTTAGGTACACAATCAACACTCATGGAAGCAGCAGTCAAAAATTCAAATGGCTTATTTTATTGGGCAAATCTGCTGCACAAGAGCTTTTAAGAGCAAAGATATCAGTTTAAGTATTATGGTGTAACTGACCTAAGACATGATATTTTCAATATCCTCATATGCATGAGAACATTGGACAATGTGTAAAGAAGAATGTAGAAGAATTGATGCATTTGAGTTATGGTGTTGTATAAGAATACTGAAAGTACCAGGAACTGCCAGAAGAATAAGCACATCTGTATTAGAAACAGTACAGCCAGGTTGCTCCTTAGAAGCTAGAATGGTGAGACTTCGTCTTTCATACTTTGGGCATATTATCAAGAGGGACTAGTCCCTGGAGAAGAACACCATGCTTGATAAAGTGGAGGGTCAGTGGAAAAGAAGAAAATGTCCAACAAGATGGATTGGCACAATGACAGCGGCAATGGGGTCAAATGTAACAGTTGTGCGGAGGATACAGGATTGGGCAGTGTTTTGTCCTGTTATGCATAGTGTCACTATGAGTTGGAATCAATTCAATAACAGCAACAACATATTAATTTACTGTAGCCTCCAGAACTATCTTTACCTAAACTGTTTTATTCTATATATTGATGTATACCATTCAACATTCTATCACATGCAGTCTCATATTTGCCATTTGTCTATTCTGCAAGAAGGAGCTCTGGTAGCATAGCGGTTATGAATCGGGTTGCTAACCTCAGGGTCAGCAGTTCGAAACTACCAACTGTTCCATGGGAGAAAGATGAGGCTTTCTGCTCCTGTAAAGATTCACAGCCTCAGAAACCTTGTACAGGGTTGCTATGAGTCAGAACTGATTCCATGGCACACAACAACAACAACAACATTCTACAAAAGTGATGCTTTCTTTTCAAGAAGACCACAGAGCTCTTCCAGAAACCAGGTCATTGTTCTTTCCCCTCCATGGAAGTGATGAGCAGCAGAAGCTTACCAACTATGTGCTGATTGATCTGCCCCAATGGACAGCTAAAGGAAAATATCCCAGCACAAACCTATCAAAGTTTCTTAATATAGAACATAACTTTTCCACAGTTTACATGGAAAAATCTCTCATGTGTACAATATCATCTTGGCTAAAAGTCAAAATAAAGGCAGTCTGAGACAGAATAGAGAGGAGAGGATAATGCAAAGTAATACCATGGCCAAGTGTAAAATAATTGAACATGAATTCCCATTTTTCAATGTACAGTACATTCTAGGCCATTTATCCCCCTAAGGAGTGTAATGGAATAGCAGACAATCACAAATAATATTGTGTCTCAATTTGAAGATGAGATAGAGGTTTTCCTCTGAGAGGTCAAAAGTGCATGATTGTTGGACATCAAAAGGACATAAAAGATAGTTCAGGGAATATCTGCAGGATTAAAGCACGGCACTGAGACTTCTCTTGTCATATTTCTGATGTATCCAAAAGTATTATTTGCTGAGATAATGGGTAACGATCCACTGGTTATTAGAATAACAGATGATGAGTTCACATTTGAGTACTGCTAGGACAAGAGTTATAGATATTAAAAAATGCATGTCCCAAAAGAGCACCCTTGCAAAGTCTTCACAGATGTATAAACATAGATTGTTTGCCAAGAAAATATCTAAATGCTCATGGGCTCCAAGTCTTAGTGGAAAGTTTAGACATAAGATCAATTCATTTTTCTTTAGGGACCTTACAATTATTTATGTATAAACTCTGTTGATTGTGCCAGACTATACAAGAGAAAAAA